CTCTCTCTCTCTCTCTCTCTCTCTCTCTCTCTCTCTCTCTCTCTCTCTCAAATAAATAAAAAAAAAGAAAAAAAAAGACTAAGTTTTAGAAATGATACAGTATTTGTAAGCCCTCTCTGAAAAAAGAAAATTCAGAAGTGAAATCACACTAATAAAATTTTACTATTATATGTAAAATCCCAAGTTTACCTCCAATAATCTACATAAAAATATGATTTATCTGATCATTTGAAGTAAACTTTATGACATGAAGGCAATAATGGAATTTATTGAGATTCCAAGAGACATTTGGTTAATAAATGCTGTTAGTATAAAACTGCTACAACACTTTCAAACACATTCAAAAGAACATAGTTTTTATCAGTATACAAATTACCTGTTTGTATTCACTGACACAACTCTGACAGCAAAATCTTTTTTGCTGACCATCAATCACCAGAACGTTATTTCCAGCACCTTTACTAGGCAAATACTCTCCACACTGTTCACAGCAATTCATTATTAGACCATTGGCCATTCTATATCTATTAAAGCAGTGGTCGCTGCACAGCTTATGAGTCATATTTTTAAAGCTAACTTCATGACGAATCTAAAAGAAAAATAGACAGAATTTTAAAAAACAGATCTGTCTTCAGGTAACTAAGTTAACAGTGACCCATCAGAAACATGGATTGTTTGGAGAAAAGCAAAAGTAAATGTATTTTATAAATTCTTTCAATTGTTTTCACACAAAGCAAAACATTCACAAGTGACATAAGTTTCTTTACACAAAAAAATGATAACTACATTTAGATAGTGTTGCTAAATAAACTTATAAACATACTAAGAATCTTTCTACAACTCCCAAAGGAATTACAAATTATACTGTACTAGAAAAGGAGGGAAAACCAAAATTATAAATAACTCAAATGACATATATATATATATATATATATATATATATATATATATATCTTTTATTTTATTTAAAGTTATATGCCAGTGAAAACTTAAACTTTTTCTTGCACTTCTACCTCACAGCAAGAGTACTTGTCTTTTTAAAATATATAGTCTACTTGCTTATTTAAATAAACATACTATTAGATTTTTTTAAAACAATCAACCACAATGCTATAATATGTGACCATTCTCAACCTTAGGAAAAAAAAAAAACCCAGCCAACTGACATTTTTGTCCTAAATCAGTTGCCTATGTGAAAGTGAAACGTCATAGTAAGACAGTTTTCATTTGATGTATCTTCACTTTTAAGGAAACACATTAATAAAAAATGTGTAATAATATCTATTAAAAGTTTAAAACAGTCCTAGCTACAGCCAAATAATAAAAGTATAAAAATACAAACCTCTGTTAGTTTACCACAAATTGTACATCTTGACTTATTTAGAGCTCCTTTACTAGGATTTTGTTTGTCTTCATAGAGAGACAAACAAGATGTACTACAGAATTCCTGGAAGGACTCACTTGAATCCACTTGAGCAACAATGGTTCCTTTCATTGTAGTTATATCTCTATAAAATAAGAGATATGACTGAAAGTAAAATTCCATTTTAAAAGAAATTAAGTATAAATAAGAGTAATAGCTGACACTTTATCTCATAGATGTAGTCAAAGAAATCAAATATCACTTTTGAATCTGGGAAACTTACTTTTACTGTTTAAAACTTGGCAATAAAGATTGAGAAGTGAAAGTACTTTAAGCTGTTATATCCTTACAACTACCCAATTTATCTTTAAATTCAGTAATAAAGTTTTCAGACACTGGAAACACTAAAACAAAATAGATATAAATTAAAAGGAGTCAATGTCATGGACTAATTTTATTGACATTTAAATTTATAGTACCTATAGTACCTGAATTCCTCTCCTCCAGTCAGTGAACATACCATATATGCAAGAGACTGTAACTGAAATCTTTTGTGCTTCAATCCCACCTCCAATGTTCTATGTACCTCTTCAACCCCAATTAGAAATGTTACAAATTAACACATCACAATGACCTTTGAAATTCTCCCTTTAAAGGAAATTCTAAACTTCAAGACCCTCTTATTTAAGTATTTAAGTCTACTACTGTAAAGCAACCTAAAAACTGTAATATAACTGTTTCTATATTTCAATTTATTAAGGATCCTCAGAGTGCTAAGCCCTTTCCAGAGTTCTAAAATCTAAAAATAGCTTTACACATTTGGGCTGTTCTAAGAGATAGTACAGAAAATCCACCTGGTTTGACCTTGTTTATAATATACCACATCTCATTTACTTTTTTTTTTTTTTTAAATGTATTTAGTACAGGGTCTGTAGGGTCTCACTACACAGATCAGACTGGTAGTGATCCTCCCGTTTTCAGCCTCCCAAACAATGGGATTACAGGCACTGCCACCATGCCCAGTCTCATTCACTGTCTCAGTACGCCCCGGGGGCGAGGGCAGCACATCACACCAGGGGATCGAACCCCAGTCCCTGAGTCTGCCTAAGCAGGTGCTTTAATCTGCTGAGCTATCTGGCAGGCCCTCTCCATTTACTTTTTTTTTTTCTTTTTCAGTTGTGACTCCAGACAGGATCCAAAGAGGAGTTTCAGGCTCTTCTCTGGGTTTTATGGAGGCTTCCTTTACCCTTCTGTGTTAGCCTCTTAAGGCACTGTGTCAACCTTAAAAGGACACAGGAAAGGGTGTCCATTTACTTTTAAACAGGGAAGCTAGATATTAAAAAAGACCTAACAGGAAAACCTATGTTTACAATCTAACAAAAACCTGGTACCTGAGTCATGAAACAAGTACTTCTAATCACTTGATGTTCAAAACAAACCTAAAACCACAAAGACTTGCCAATTTAAAATAATCTCAATTTTGCCAGCCATGTTGGAACATGCCTGTAATTCCAGCACTTGGGAGGCTGAGGTATGATGCTCACTGCAAATTCAAGGAAGGCCTGTCCTCTACACAATAGATTAAAGGCCAACCTGAACTACATAGTGTTACCCTATTACAAAATAAATTAAAATGATCTCAATCTAAAAACAGTATGAGATTTGACCTATTTTAATACAGAATTAGTCTCAATACAGAATTAGTCTCATATCAACTACCATTTTTATCTGGCAAAGAGTTACATTATTATAATAATGTACTAAATAGTATAGCATTTCCCATAACTCTGCAAAGCTTTGGGTTCAAGCCCCAGTATCTTAAAATAAATTACTGGATTAAAAAACATAAATATTCATGTACTTTTACAAATTCAGGAAGTCAGAGATAACAGACAAAATTGTATGACAAGGGCCTATCTAGATCAACCCTAAAGCCTACAAAAACAGTAACCTCTATCTATAAGTCACTTGGACTTGACAGAGTAATTACAAAAGCCATTACAAATTTAAATTTGGCTTTAAGATTTTTTTAAAAATGATTATATTCATACATAACCAAATTTTATATATAACCACTATCTTTATACATTCATCTATAAAAATACTAAAATTTTAGACTACCAACTAAACGATTTTCATGAAAGAACTACTGAAATTTTTACCACCAATATTGAACTATATGGAATTACACTGAAAGGTAAACCTTACTTTTTACACATAACACAGAGTTTCTTTGGAGCAGGCTTGTGAGAGAAGGAAGAAAGGCAAGTGGTTGAACAAAAGAGGTGAGCTGATCCTTTCCGCTGGTAAGCTGTTTGTCCCTTCTGTAAAGGTTTTTTGCAGTTTGCACAAGTGACCTTAACAGGTTTAGTAGGTTGCTGTTGGGCAGAAGGCTGGAAGATCTGTTTGGGAAGTGAGGCCACTGGTGATAGAGAATCCACCCCTGGCTGTTTCTGATTACGGGGAAATGATGCTGACTGGGAAATCCAAGAATCTGAAAAACAAAATGCAGAAGGGAGTGTAATGAAACAGGGGTTTATATATACTGATATCTCTACCGGAGAAATCATTTACCTTTCCATTTTTAGTGAGATTAACATGTTAATGAAGCAGCAACAGAGAAAAGAGGTACACAGAGTTTCAGGGTAAGAATGTTTGAATAAAAATGTAATCAAAATTTTCTGTGAACCCATTTTAAATAGTCTCACAATTATGTGAATGCATGTTAATTACTTCCCACTTCTCTATTCTACAATGTAAATATATTTTAAACATGTTATACATGATAAAAATATGGCATTTTTACTTGTCAAAAAATGCAAGCTGGGTAGAGTGGTGCATACCTGTAATCCCAACACTTGAAAGACTGAGGCAGGAATTGGAGGACAGCCTAAACTATGTAGTAAGACCCTGTCTCAAAAGGAAAAGGTAAAGGTGAAGAAAGGAAAGGAGTGAGGAAGGAAGAAAGGCAGGTTCATTTGCATTCCAGCTCCCATTATGTGTAAGATTGGAATGCTGCTTCAACTGTGTGCTTCCCTAATAGGAAACAGTACCAACCTCATATGAAACATTAAATGAGATAATATATGAAATAAATTAGTGAATAGCATTTAAGAAGCACTTAAAAGAATCAATGAGTGATCGTGTACTTAGAGAATATTATTTTAAGTATAAAACATCAAATAAAAGTAAAAACACCTTGACAAAACAGAACCTTTAACAAATGTAACACAAGCATAGTAAGTAAGGTTCATGTATCATTACTTCCAAATGTTCTTATAAATGCGTTTTCCCAATGTTTAGTTCAATAATACCTAAATGTAAGACATAAGCTAATCAAAGTCAAAGCAGTGTTACACTGAAATGATGGTGTCATACTGTCATGGTTTGGGGTTCTTGCAAGGGAAACAATACAGAACATATTTTATTTGATAAGATTTTTGGGGATCAGGAAGATAGCTCAGCAACATAAGCACCTGCTTGGCAAGCACAAGATCCCGAGTTCAATCCCTAGCATGAAAAAATAAAATAAAATAAAAAGATTATTTTATAATTACTCAAAGCATCATACACAAGAGTGCAGGAAATCTGTCCACACACTAAAGACCCAAGAATCCACCTGAGGGCCTGGATCCTAATATCTTGCATGAGTTCAGCTAAAAGCCTAGAGTCCATAACAATGCCTCTCACAAGTTTAATTGGAGACCTAGAGCCCACAGCAGTGTCTCATACAAGCTCCCTTCACAGATCTGTGCTGGAAAGGCCCAAAGGTCAGTGGTGGAAGCTAGAAAATCTATACCAGGGGGATGAAGGATCTGTGCCAGCAGGCGGAGGGACCTGAACTGGAGAAGCAATACTCAAGCCAGAAATCAAAGTTCTCCCCAAAAGCCATCCTCAGCAACAGTGAGGTCTGGAGCTCCTCCAGCAGTGAGGAAAGCTGAGTTCCCATCAGGAAAGCCAATGTGACAAGGTTCTCCATGAAACTGAGCAGTACACCACTGTCCCCTCTGGAGCCAGGAAACAATGCTCAAGATAATAAAGAACAGAGCTTCCCCAATATGAACTACAGCCATTCTAAAGGACAAAAAAGGTCCCAAGCTCCTCCAGCAACAAGAACAGCCAAGTTCATCAGGAAAGCCAGCATGACAAGGTCCTCCAGCAGAATAGCCCAAGACAAGCAGCAGCTACCAACAGCTCCAACAGATTCTTCAAACAGTATCCCTAACAGCCTCTCAATGGAGTCTCCCATTCTGCTTTTTATGCTGCTGGCAACAAAGCAGCATAAAGGTGGGCCTCAGGTGGGCCTCCCACACCCATTATCAAGCTAGTTCAATTCAACTGGGTATAACAAGTTGACCACCAGTTAACACTCCACTACACATATCAACATATAATGAACAATCTAACATCAAATTACTCTACCATTGCAGACTAAGTACATCACACAGCCCAGGGGAATATCTATTTGCACTGGAGTGCAAAGTTACTCATCTTTTCTTTTTCATGCTGAGCTTTCTTAGTACTCACTAGGTAGGAAGTGTCTGGTTTGTTACACCAAGTCCCATTTCACACACTCGTTGTGACACAATCAATTCCATGACCTATCTTCATTTTTAAAATTTCTCAGGCCACTTTTTCTAATTTCAACTACTTGATTTCTCAAAATGTTTGGCCTTTATACTCTCTCCTGAATTTTGAACCTAGATACACAAAAACTGCCCTTACACAGAAAATATAGTACAAGAGCAGAGAGATAGCTCAGTAAAATAAGTGCTTGCCTGGCAAGCACAAGGTCCTGAGTCCAATCTCTGGTATCACAAAAACAAACAACCAAAAAAGAAAAAGAAAAAGAAAAAGAAAAAGAAAAAGAAAATACAGTACAAATATAACCAGAATCTGGAAAAACTTTACTGCAAACACCTCAATGAGGGTAATTTGGTGACTCTGCCCTATTTCATCAACCTAATATAGTTTCAAAGAACTGAACACAGTGCTATTTGGATTTTACTCAATTCCAAAATACACCTATAAAAACAAAACTTTATATAGAGCATAACCAGTCTAATTCTGAAATCCTGTTTTCATGCTAAATTACAGAAAAAAAAAAAAAAACAATATTTACCAATAGGTAAAAATAATCAATGAGACAACAAATTATTCTAAGAACCAGGAATTGATCTCAAAGAAAACAAAGGCATTCATTCAAAAACTGCTGAAGCAAGTGATAGAAAATTTCTCATTCTTCAACACACATACTGATTCTACAAAGTTTTCGATTTTGTAGGCTTATCTTCTGAATACATACTTAAAGGAATCTATTTAAACTTGAGGGCATCTACTGCCTTAGTTTGGGAAAAAGGTATTTTTCTTTTGTCAATTTAGCTTTACCAGAATTTTTTTTAAGTTTATTTATTTAAAAAGTTTTATTTATTTTTCAGCCCTTACATTTCCCTTTCATATTTTCACCACTTCCAACAGTGAAAAATATTTTAGAATAGAAAAGACCTAATTACTTTGACTAAATCCTCAATCATGTAAGCACAGAGATAGCAGTTAAATTTGTCTAAACTACAATTACTTCAATAACCAATATAAAGGTCTTTTTACCAAGATGGTGCCAACGGCCAAGAAGGAAGCCCCTACCCCTCCCAACGCTGAAGCCAAAGCAAAAGCATTGAAGGCCAAGAAGGCTGTGCTGAAAGACATCCACAGCCACAAAAAGATATGAATGTCACCAACCTTCCGTGTCCCAAGACACCGGCTATGGAGGCGGCGCACATAACCTCAGAAGAGTACCCCCAGGAGAAACAAACTTGACCCCTATGCCATCATCAAGTTCCCCCTGACCACAGAGTCAGCCATGAAAAAGGTCCAGGACAACAACACATTCATGTTCATTGTGGATGTCAAAGCAAATAAGCACCAAATCAAACAAGCTGTAAAGAAGCTGTATGGCATCGATGTTGCCAAGGTCAATAACCTAATGAGGCCTGATGGAGAGAAAATGGCATATGTTCGATTGGCTGATTATGATGCATTGGATAATGCCAACAAAATTGGGATCATCTAAACTGAGTCCAGCTGGCTGATTCTAAATATATACTTTTTTTTCCACTTAAAACAAAAAAAAAAAGAAAGAAAGAAAGAACCAATAGCCAAGATTTTATAATTCTTAATCTATTATTCTGTACTATAAATAAAAAGCCCATAAGTACAAGAGCTAATTCATAAATATAAAAAAAAGTGGTTCCCAGCACCACATGCCACACCGCCCCAGCCCCCAGGCAAGCTGAGCAGGCCGCTGAGACTAGATCTAATGACGCACATCTACAATCCCAGGACTGGGGAGACTTAAATAGCAGGATCACTACAAGTCTGAGCTGGGTAGTGAGACCCTGTACCAAATACATAAAAGACAATAATAATAATCTATTTGTTTATATTTTTCTTATGAGTATGTTATATTCTTTTAGGTTAAGAGTTTAACTGAATAGGAATACAATTATTCAATATTGAACTGGAGTTGGAAGAGGCAAGTCCAGTCTCAAAATGAAGGTAAAACCACTGCCCAGTCGTCCCCCAGCTATACGGCCATTGCCGATGGAGTGGGGAGGGCCATGATCCAAAGGAACCAGAGTAGCTGAGGAAGCTGTTTATTGGTGGCCTGAGTTTTGAAGCTATCAATGATAGTTTAACAGAACACTTCTGAGAAATGGGGTACACTCACAGATTGTGTGGTAATGAGAGATCCTCAAAACGCTCCAGAGGCTTTAGTGTTGTGACTTACTCTTGTGTTGAAGAGGTGGATGCAGCAATGTGTGCTCTACCACACAAAGTTGATGGGCATGTAGTGGAACCAAAGAGAACTATTTCTAGAGAGGATTCAGTAAAGCCTGGTGTCCATATAACAGTGAAGAAACTTTTGTTGGTGGTATTAAGGAAGACACAGAAGAATATAATTTGAAAGACTACTTTGAAAAATATGGCAAGATTGAAACCATAGAAGTTATGGAAGATAGGCAGAGTGGGAAAAAGAGAGGATTTGCTTTTTTAACTTTTGATGATAATGACACAGCTAAAAAATTGTTCAGTAATACCACACATTTATCATCATGGGCATAATTGTGAAGTGAAAAAGGTCCTTTCTGAACAAGAGATGCAGTCTGCTGGATCACAAAGAGGCTAAGGAGGAAGATTTGGCAATTTTATGGGTCATGGAGGAAATTTGGAGGTGGTGGAGGGAATTGTGGATGTGGTGGAAACTTTGGTGGAAGAATGGTGGAGGAGGTGGTAGCAGAGGTAGTTATGGAGGAGATGATGGTGGACATAATGGATCTGGAGGTGATGGTGGAAACTATGGTGGTGGTCCTGGCTACAATAGTAGAGGAGGATATGGTGCTGGTGGACCAGGATATGGAAACCAAGGTGGTGGATACGGTGATGGTGGAGGAGGATATGATGGTTACAATGAAGGAGGAAAACTTTGGTGGTGGTAACTACGGGGGTGGTGGAAACTATAATGACTTTGGAAATTATAGTGGACAACAGCAGTCAAATTATGGAACCATGAATGGGAGCAGTTTTGGTGGAAGAAGCATTGGCAGTCCCTATGGTGTTGGTTATGGATCTGGTGGTGGAAGTGGTAAATATGGTAGAAGGTTTTAAAAAAAAAAAACAGAAAAGAGCTATAGTTCTTAGCAGGAGAGCAAGGAGTTGTCAGGAGAGCTGTAGGTTACTTTGAGACGGTTGTCCCATTAGAGGAACTATAAAAATCTGCCACAGAAGGAATGATGATCCAGTCAGAAAAGTTACTGCAGCTTAAACAGGAAACCCTTCTGATTCAGGAGTGTCATAGCCACACTTTTTGTATGCAAAAAGTGCAGCTATTGATTAATGCACTGTAGTGTCAATTAGGTGTACATTCCTGAGGGTTTTTTTTATCTGTTGTAGCTTTGTCTTTTTCTTTCTTTTCAATATATCAGGTATACTACTGCCCTGTAAATTGTGGTAGTGGTACCAGGAATAAAAAATTAAGGAATTTTTAACTTAAAAAAAAAAAAAAAAAAAAGGACTACAATTATTCATTCCCTTTGACTCAGAAAGTTCTTGAAGAAATCAGTATAGTAAGACATACCCACAAAACTTTTTCTTTACAAAAATATTTTTAAGAAGAGTATTTAAATAGGAAAAGTTTAAACTAAGCCAAGTAGAGAATTAAATTTCATACACATTAGGTTGATAAAGACAAAACATTAAGATCTATTGTTAGGTATGTAAAGGTATGAAGGAAAGGAGCAATAGCTAAACCGTATACTATGTTCTCAAGTTAGAATTATTTGTACTATCAATTCTCAGTGATGAGGTTGAATATTATTTTCTTCTCCACATTCACGTTTTAAAAATGTCAATACTCAACATACAAAACAGCTACTTTAAAACTAATTTGAGCATTATTAAAGTTACAGAGAAAATCAGTTTAACATATAGCCAGTAGCAGTGTAAATTGGTAAGAGCTTTTGGGAAAGCCAGTATTACAACTTCCATACATTAAGAAATGATCACACAAATTCACAGTAACACTGACTCATACATGTGTGGGCACATGTGCACACAGGGAAAGGGTCTTAGGAAAAACTGTACTTATTTCTAAACCAAATTTTATTGGGGTTATGAGAAGTGGCTCAATAATTTCACCTCTATTAGATTCTCATAATGTAAGGAAATAATGAGAAACATGAACAAAAGCATTCATCTTTTACCCACAGTAACAAAATATAGGAAATGATGTAAAAACCAAATATAGAAATAGGCATTGATTGAGCAACCATTAAAACTTGTATGTCAATGATATGAAAAAACAGTATAACATTGAGTGAACCAAAAACAAACAAAACTATACAGAGCTGCCTTAAAGCTAGGTTAAAAATTTTTTATCAAGAATGCCCATTTTGCTGGGCATGCTGGCAACTGCCTATAACCCCAGCACTCAGATGGGCTGAGGCAGGAAGACTGCCTAGAGTTCAAGGTCAGCATGGGCTACACAGTGAGTGCAAGGCCAGTCTGAACTACATAGCAAGATCCTGACATGTAAATCTGTATTAAAAGAAAAAAAATCACAGGGCTGAGGAGATGGCTCAGTGGAATAAGTGCTTCCCTGGCAAGCACAAAGGCCTGAGTTCAATCCCTGGTTCTGCCAAAAAAAAAAAAGGAAAGAAAAGGAGAAAGGGAGGAAGGGAGGAAGGGAGGAAGGGAGGAAGGGAGGAAGGGAGGAAGGAAGGAAGGAGATAGACCACAAAGAAAAATGACTAAAAGACAATGATTCAAGTCATTGACAGTGGTGATCTTTACTTACTAAGACTATAATAGGACTATAGGGAATCCTCCCCCTCATTCTTACTATACACATTTTCCAAACATTCTTCACTAATCTAAGGTGCTATTCAAAATAGAAATACTGCCTACTAAAGTTATCCCATATTATTCTGTGCAATTTATAAAGTTAATAAGCCTGAAATGATGAAACAATGAGACAGACCCAGAGAAATATTACACTGGACAAAAGAAGAGGCAGACAATCAAATTGGTGGGGTGTTTTGTTTTTTAATGTATTTAGTACACAGTCTACAAGATCTCACTATAAAAATCTACCAATCTTTTTTGTTGTTGTTTTTCTTATTTAGGTCTTTTTGAGATAGGGTTTCACTATGCAATACAGGCTGGCCTTGAATTCACAGTAATCCTTGTGCCTCAACCTCCAGAGCGCAAGGATTACAGGCATATGCTAGCATGCCTGACTGTCTAACCATCTTTAAAAATGAAATAATTTGGCCGGGGAGATGGCTCAGTGGAATAAGTGCTTCCCTGGCAAGAGCAAGGGTCTGAGTTCAATCCCTGGTTCCATTAAAAAAAAAAAATTAACATTTTATTATAGACTGCTAGACAGTGTTGGATTGTTTAGCTGAATTCAAACACCTATAGTATTTAGATGCCAACAGAATATTCACCTCTGATAGGACTAAACCAAAAAAAGGGGATACAAAAGAAAGATTACTTTGTACTTATATATACAAAATAGGATAGACATACAGCTACTTTTCTTAATTCAATGAGAAGATGTGTACTAATAGTGTTTGGACAGGATATCCTGTCTGCTTCTTGTATTATGGATAACCATTAAGAAGATAACAATGTACAATGTATTGATTATCGAAACTGTCCTATTAATCAGCTTTGAAACTGTCTCATTCATATTTCTCAATAAAATTAAAATCTTAAAAAGCAACAATTAATGAAGTACTAATTAAAAAACAAAACTGGATAGGCAGTCAAACTAAACACAAGGACTCCGGTACCATCAAGTTGTGTGTGTTAAATATGTACAGTGTTTTGCCCAGCATAGTGGAGCCCAAACTAGGAGTGGCACTCCACCAGCAGTTCCTGCCTGAGCTACACAGAGTTCAAAAGCCAGTTTGAACTATATACCAAGACCCTGTCTGAACTCCGTCCTCCCAAGTGTACAGTCTTTGGCACGTCATTTACTCTTTTAAATATTTTTTTAAGGGAGTATGTTTGGGTTTTCTTCATAGTTGAAATAGAAAATTTAAAAAAAAAAACCTTATCCAACTCAAAAAAAATATGGAAACTACAGACAAGCAAAGTAGATATAAATCTAAATTCAAATTTTTATACAACTGTTCTTTGAGGGTGCTAGTAAACTTTTGGTTCTCGAGAATATTAAAACATTAATAAAAATATAATAGCAAAAAGTACATCATGAAAAATTTTTTAAACTGTTAAACATAAATCATTTTGTGTTCATCTAAAAATCCCCTTGAAACTCCACAAAATTAACCTATTTCGCATGACAAAATTACACAAGGTAACACCAATTGTTATAAGGAAAAATCAACCAGACCTTTTACATTTTCATAGGGCAGGAGTATTACTTGTTGCTTACCAGGATTATGATGAGTTGCAGATTCTCCATTCTGAAATACATCTCCTGCCACATTCATTCTACCAGGATTAAAAGGTCCTACTCCAGTCTTGGTCTGTGAAGTTAAAGACGGGGTGTATGTTTGTATATTAACACCAAAATTACTTGACTGCAGTCCGTTAGAGACATCTCCCAAGTTGGCATTCTGCAGTGATGTTACATGTGTAATCATTAAGTTCATATCTCTCCCGTCAGTATTTTCTAATTGGCCATCATTCACAGAGCTTACACCTGTTTCTAGGGTTGTAACATTAGCAATCTGAATTTCAGAGTCTGGTTCTGTGGTGATACCACTACTACCCATTGCTGCATTTACCTTACTTCTTGAAAAATTGGAAGTGGAGAAATCCACATCATTTGTTCTGTTTTTAGTTTCAGGAGGTCTCCTTTCAACAAAGTTAGAGTTTTTTTCTTGCCCTTGATTTGTTTCCATGTCCTCTTCATCATCAATGACAATTGTCTCACTTACACTTCCTTTCTGAGAAGCCAATTCTTTCGAGGATGGGAGAATTTTAGAATCATTTCCTTGCAGTTCTTCATTTTTTGATGTAAATGTTATGGTTCTTTGATCAGTTACCACGGGAGCAGAAGGTGGGGGAGGTTGTACAGGTTCAATAAAAACAACATCATCATCATCTTCCACTGGTGAGTCTTGAAATTTACTAGATCTAGATACTAAAGGATTGGGTGGACCACTAAATGAATTTCCCACATTCGTGAGACTTGTTGCCATGGCCGTACTCCCTAATAAAACAGGAGTTTGATCAGTCAATTCTAATGTTCCCACTGAGCTTGTGTCCATTCCAAAGAACCTGTTAGAAAAATGAAAAAGACAGTTAAGTTATGTCAGTTAAGGATTTTATACTATTCTGACTAAAATCACTGTAGAAAACAGAGAAAATAAATACCCAATTTTCAGTAATCCTCTACTATATTCTTCCACAACTATCACCTACCTCCTAAGATATATTACTTCCTGCATAAACCGTAACACCAAAACTATAAATACTTCCACAATTTTAACCAGGAAAATAAAAAGCTAACAATGAAACAACACCTTCAATTTACATATTCCATTTATCCAATAAAATATTAATTCCTCAATTCCATTCATTCATTTTTTTTCCCCTTGCATTTTAGGGAAGGGTCTACAGGGTGTTCAGGGTCTCACTACTAGATCGGACTCGTAGTGATCCGCCTGTTTACAGCCTCCCAAGTGCTGGGATTACTGGCACAAACCACCACGCCCAGTCTCAATCATAGTCTCAGTGCACCCCATGCGCAGGGCTGGCACAGCAGGCCCAGGGATTGAACCTCTTGGCCCCTGTGCCTGCTTGCAGGCATTTTAATCTGCTGAGCTATTTGGTCAGCTCTTCCTCTCGATTTTTTTTTACTCCCTCATCTAGATTTTTAAATCCTTTTTCTTACACTCTCTAGCTCATATGCAACTGCATGAATAAAGTCTTTTTGAAAATTTTATATTGTTCTTCATGCTATCCTGAAAGTTCAAGTCCTTTTCACCAGGCTCTGTAATATCTATGTGCTTTTACCCTCCATGCCTGTAGCAACAAAAGATAGATAATGGGTCCCAATCACTACGTTTTCATATACAGAGAAAGGATTTCTGTACCTATGATTACAGATAAGGATTTTACAGTGAATGAGGTTCTAAGTATCCTTACAAGACAGAACTACAGAAAGATTATTGGGGAGGGAAAGTAAAGAAACAAACCAAGAAATACCGACAGTCAACTGAATACAGAAAGAATAAGGAAGATTCTTCCCAAAAGCATCCAGAACATATATATCCTTCTTAATAACTTGACTTGATCCCAGTGAAACTATTTCCAAACTTCCGACCTCCAAAACTGTGAGAGAATACATTTCCTTTGTTTCAGGCCACCAAATTTAGGCTAACATTGCAAAGACTATATGAAACACATACAATCCACTACTTAGTTATATCCCCCAAACAAACATTAGGTATTATTTATGTCTCGTTTTAATTAAGAAATAATTATTGAAATTATAGCTTAGATATGATAATATTCCCAAGTCACACAGTGAGGATAAATACCCAAGCCTCAAAAACTACATTATAGTCAACTAACAATTTCTTTTCTTTCTTTTTTTTTTTTTTGGCGGAACCAGGGATTGAACTCAGGCCCTTGTGCTTGCCAAGGAAGCACTTATTCCACTGAGCCATCTCCCCGGCCTCAACTAACAATTTCTATATGCCAGGCTATGCTTTGTGAGGCCAAGGAAAGCAAAGTTAATAATTTATAGAACAAACATCTGAATAAATGGAAAAGATGATGTTATGGGCACAGACGATAGTATCATTAATTCCAAAGAAGAATTGATCTTATAGGAAAAAAAAAAAAGTGTCAGGGAAAACCAGAAGGAAAAAACCTCAAGAGTACTTGTAAATGCGAGGGGTGGAAAGTTGGAGTGGTTCATACTAGTCTCATTTTCAAAGAAAGGTACCCAAGATGAGACATTAACTATACAGGTCTTCAGGTACGGTGTTTAAACTTAAATATTTAGGAGCCTTTAGTAGGATAACGATACTAAAATAAATTTTAACTCAGACTAAAAGTTACATGATAAAGAAATTGTCCTACCTCTTAAAACATTTTCTTAAATTTTCTAGATCACATGATTTACCACTTATTTTTCAAAGAAAACGTATTTTATTTATTTTATTTTTTATTTTTGTATTTTTAGTACAGGGTCTACAGGGTCTCACTACATAGATCGGACTTATAGTCATTCTCCTGTGTTCAGCCTCCCAAGAGCTGGGAATAGAGGCACACACGACCATGCCCAGTCTCAACTGCTGTCTCAGCATGCCCCAAGGGTGGGGCCAGCACTGTGCACTGGGAATGGAACCCCGGGAGCTGTATCTATCTAAGCAGGGACTTTAGTCTGCTGAGCTATTTGGCCAGCCCAAGAAAATTTAATTTTTTAAAAGGCAAACTGGTAATAGACGTATTATGATGATGGAATACAGTAACAAGAAAGACCCATCTATGAGAAGGTCAGGGATACAATATTCCAAGCACAGGAAAGTTTCTGCAAAAAGCTAAAAACAGTAAAAGTTGGCCAACTCAAGCAAGAGAACTGCTACAGACTGGATCCTGAATGTTGCCCCCAACGGGCTATGTGTTGAATGCTTGGTCCCCAATCCCTGCCACTACTGTGAGGTGACAAAACCTTTAGGAGGTAGAGTGCACTGGAAAAAATTTAGGTAACTGGTAATGTGCTCTTGAAAGGGATATTGAGACAATGGTCCACCCTCTTTTAGCACTTCCTGGCCACTATAGGACAAGCAGCTTCCTGTGCTTAACACTACCACCAAGATATACTGCCTCCAAAAAAAATTTTTTAATCACTTCACTACAGGCCCCAAAGACCACGAACTGAAACCCCAAAAACTATGAGCCCATCCCGTACCCCCAAAAAATCCCGTTATATTTATCTCAGATATCTGTCATAGCAACAAAAAGCTGACTAATACAAAAAAATAAAGCCAATGTAGTTCATCTCCATCCTGCCCTGACCCCAGGATCTGCTGAGACAGCTGAGACTGGGTGTGATGGTGCACACCTGTAATCCCAGTACTTGGGAGGATGAATATAGTGAGGCCTTATAGACCCTATACTAAATACATTAAAAAATAAAAAAATAATAAAAATAAAGCCAGTGTAAGCTGGGACAAAGGCAGAGAAAAAGAAAATAACTCGCCAAAGCCAAGAAGCTGATTCACTTATATTCAACAGATTTTCAGAGGGCTTGATTTATACATGACTCTTTAAGACACTTCAGAAAAACTGGTGAACACACATGAATATCCCTGCCCAGAATAAGTACGAATTCTAAACTATCTTGGCCTTACTGTTACAGGAAACACGGCTGAATTTTTCAGCAAAGGGCTGATACAATCTAATGTTTAAACAGATCACGCAGGCTAAGTGGGAAATGAACTACGGAAGATCATAACTGGAAGCAAAGATAACTACACAGCCACTACAATGGTCCAACTGAGAGATGACAGTAGTTCAAATAATAGTAGTGATGGGAAATGGTGAAAAAAAGAAAAAAATCAAAATATTAGATCTTACTGACATTAAAAACTACACAACATGCTATTGATTTTTTTAAAATTATTTAACAGAGTACATATTATTATGTCATGCATGGCACTAAAACCCATATACACATTTCCTCAACCTCAGATAAAACAGATATTAACTCTGCCATAACAAAATAGTACCCCAAGGACATTAGTTAACATTGCCAAAGGTCCCAAGAAAATAAAAGCTCCAGACGCAGTCCTAGCCCAGGCCCGGTGAGCGTGGGAGAGCTGCCAGCTACCCTGCGCCAGTGGGACCTACTACACGTCCCAGCCCAGGCGCAGCATGGGTGAGACCCTCTTCCACCGACTTGGGATGCTCCCCACCACTCCGAAGCACCTCCCCGACCCCGCCCGCTGAGTAGGAATTTCTGCCGTGTTCCGGGAACCCCGACACCCAGTCCTAGCCCAGGCCCTATGAGTGTGTGGGAGAGCTGCCTCTGGCCCTCTACTCTACCTTGTCCTCTCCAGGCTCAGCTCACGCCTGGCATACAGGGCTGGTGTGATACCCTGCAGCTGCAATCCCTGCAGAGAATATACAGGATAGAACCACCCAGCCAGTCCAGGAGCAGAAAAACTTCCCAGAAGGGCGCAATAGGTTCACCCCCAAGGGCAGCAGCAGGAAGGAGCTGAGCACAGCAGCTAGACCCAAGCTGGGCACAGCTGGATAAATCCAAACTTTGTACATCTGAACCTGAATTTCAGTACGTGCTAAGGTTATAACTGCAACAAAGATCTACAACAAAGGTCAGAAGACAATGCTACACAAAATGACGAGAAGGAACAAAATGCAATCTCAGAACCCAAGCCCAACCATAACAAGTGCAAAGGACACTAACACACAACAAATTGGAATTACACAGCTGAAAGCAATGAATCAACACCTTCTGAAATAAAGAAACAGCTGCAGAAAGGTATACAGGAACTCAGATTGGAAATTGAAAAATAGAAATCCCTGAATTAATAACATCTGCAGTAAAGAATCAAATGCAGAAACAAATGGAGAAAACCCAATGCCCACCCAGAATAAGTGCAGACGACACTAGCTCAGCTCAAATGTATGAATTAATAGCATCGATAGTAAATAAGCAACAGCAGAAAGTTATAGAGGAACTCAGAGCGCAATTCTTTTC